GTCCTGAGGATCAAACGGGTCATCAGAACCGAGGTCCTGAGGACTGAACGGGTCGGTTTGGTTCTGATAAAATCCTGACTGTGTGACTGAAGAAACTCCAGGTTAATTATTAATCCATAAATCTGTTCATGGCCTTCATGGTTAATGAATCCTCATCTAAATACTGAGTTTATATCTAATCTGTGTATGTCTACGTATATCTGTGGTTCTGTGTTGGTTCTGTATTGGTTCTGTGTTCCCGGCGTTCCCGGCGTTCGGTTGCCCCGCTCCCTGTCTGATGACCTCGTCGCCATGGCGACCAGCCTCTACTCACTCCGGTTGCCCATGTGACCCCAGCCGGTGATGTAGCAGTAGGAATCCGGCGTCGGCAGCTGCCCCGGCCGGGGCAGACACACCGGCCTGACGTGGGCCGTCTCCTCCACCTGTAAGGAGCCAGAACCAATCAGAACCGGCCGTCTCTGTTTGGGTCGCAGAGGTTCTGCAGGTTCTGACCTCAGAGTCCAGCTGCACCACGCTGATGTCGTAGTCCACCACCGCCCGGTTGTAGCGCGGGTGGACGACGATGGAGCGAACGCTGCGGGTCTGACTGTGGGCGCCGGGGTGGTCCAGGTTGGTCAGGCCCAGAACCACCTTCCACAGCTCTGCATTCTCCCTCCTGGTGGACAGAACCAGGTCCAGATGAGCTGGGATCAGATGCCAGAACCCCCCAGACACGGAGCCGGCCCCTCACCCCTCGAAGCAGTGAGCCACCGTCAGAGCCCAGCGCCGGGCGATGAGGACGCAGCCGCACACGTGTCCGCTCTGACCGCTCTGCAGCGAGCACTGCCAGGGCCACGCCCCACGCCTGGACACCCGGCCCCCCAGGATCCGCTTCTTCCTGTGAGGACGGAGGGCTGGACGCAGACCGCACTCTGACGGCGACAGAGGTCAACATCAGGATGGACCTGAGGTCAGAATCATCCTGCAGGAGACGGGTTACCTGCTCTGGAGCATCGGACCGAAACTCTCCTCCTGGAGTGGCAGGCGTGGCTGCAGGAGGCCAGCAGGGAACATTTACACATGATGAGACACAGGTGCGACTGAGCTACACATTACTTCACTGAAGAACATCAGAGGAAACCAACCTGGACCAGGTTCATTATAGATCTACATGAACTAGCAGCTGAAAGACGTTCAACACTTTAAACCACAGAAACATGTCATAAGTCTGAAGGAGCTCAGTGTTTCAGCAGCTCCGCAGTTTACTGGGAGTTGGTTCCAGATTACAGGAGGATCGGTAATCCAGGAGATGATAGAAGGCCGGCTTTGGAACCGTCTTTATGTGGCTCTGCAGACTCAGGTCAGAGGTCAGAGGTCATCACTGCTCCCAGATTCTGGACCTGATCTCGAATTTCTAGCTGTAATAACTGAAGCTGCAACTCCAGATCTATAACTACAGATCTACAACTCCAGATCCATAACTACAGATCTATAACTCCAGATCCATAACTACAGATCTACAACTACAGATCTACAACTACAGATCTATAACTCTAGATCTCTCCGCTTTAGGTCCACAGATAATAACTTCAGTTTTGTCTCATCCTCACATTTATCTGTTCTAAGTGTTTATTCAGATGGGGTCAAAGGTCACCTGGTGACCTCATAATGTGGAGCTGTGTGTCATGTGTGTCGTCATGGTAAAACTTATTCCTTTTAAAATCTAAATCAAACAGAACCAGAACTGAACTAATCAGATCTGATTTAACTGATTGTTGGTTTTCTGTGTTTTCATAGAAAATATTATTAGAATCCAGACAGAACCAGAATGGATCCCGGACAAGCACCCAATATTTGTATCTTTGTTGTGTTGTACATAAACTGGGGGCTTGTCCAGGATAACTCGACTCTAATAGAGATGATAGTAGAGACAGAATTTGTTTCTTGTTTGATTTTCATGGATTAAAATCAATGTTTGCTGCAGTGAAAAGAATAAATCAGTTTTCATCCCACCAGGATCCCGTCTACGGGGCTAACCCTAAAGCCCCACCAGGATCCCGTCTACGGGGCTAACCCTAAAGCCACACCGCTCCTCACCGACACTGTGGGATAAACTGAGCATTCATCAGTGGTACCTTCTCTTCTCCAGTCGGGCCTGCAGGGCAGAACCGTTTCTGAGGTTCCACTCTGGATGGACGTGTAACCAACGGCGACGGCCCGGTGCTGCAGGCTGGTCGGGTACCATGGAAACCGAGGAGGGGGCCCTGAGGAGGAGCTGCTTACAGTTACCCTGCTTCAGACGGATCCATGTATGGTGATGAGTCGGTGCTGAACCGGTCCAGGTGGGGGAACCACGGCTCTGTCTGGTCCGTTACTAACCTTACCCTAGTCCCAGCTGCTCGCAGGTCAGTCTGCTCAGCTCCGGGTTCCACTCGTCGGCACACACCTGGTACTCCGCTGCCGTCTTAAACACGGTCAGAACAGAACCGGACCGATCCGACAGGGAGACTGCAGAGACCAAGATCAGCACAGGGTCCATCAGCAATGGCTGTTCATTACAACAGCGCCCCCTACAGTCACTAACAACACATCTACTTTCACCCAGTGCATGTTTGTCTCTGCAGCTCTGGGTAGTTTAACCAACTTTAACCATCTGAACAAAGCTGTGACTGTACCACAGTTCCACTCATCGGAGCTGTCAGAGCAGTGCCTCCTCCCGTCACACCACAGGGTGCGGTGGACACACTGGTGGTTGTTACAGGCCAGTTCGTTGTCCCTGCAGACCGCTGCGTCCAGAAACACAACAAGTTATCCATAAACATCCATAAACACAAGTTAATCCATAAACACAACAAGTTATCCATAAACACAAGTTATCCATAAACACAAGTTAATCCATAAACACGTCCATAAACACAAGTTATCCATAAACATGGCTCTGCCTCCACCAATATGAAGAGATACTTTGTGTCACTAAATGTCAGAGGTCGCCACATTCTGCTAATCCGCTAGTAGCTAAGCTAATCTTTAGCATTTTACTGACGGACACATTTAGCGCACTTAGCTTCCCTTAAATTCATTTTCAGGATAAATTTTGAAGTTAGCTGGTTTATAAACTTTCAGTTCTTCCTCACGTAGTCAGACGTTTATATTCACGCTCTTATTTTGAAGGGGGATAAACTGTGTACCCACCAGTTCCTTTTCCTTTTCTTATGTTCAATTTGTTTTAGGAAACTTTATTAAGCAAATGGAAAGCATAGAAGGAACAGATGAGTTATGCAGAAGAATCCCTCATCCAGCTTTCACAGCCAGGCTGTTAATCAAACAGCTGCTAAATGGTTTAGCTTTTCATTCTGCTAAATACCATACAGAGCTAACGCTACGCCGCTCTGTTAGGGTTAGTGCGCCTATCTTAAAGTTCAAAGGTCAGTGGAAACAGTCTCACAGCAGTTGGCTTCGTCCACCTGCAGGGGGCAGTCTGGGAACCCGTCACAGATCATGGAGGGCTTGATGCAGAGCGTGCTGCCGGGACACTCCCACAGAGCGCGCTCAGAGCAGCCTGAGGCAGAGACAGCAGCAGGGTCAGACTACAGACAGCAGGGCAGCAGGACAGCATCTGGACTCTGTCCCACCACAGTTGTCCTCGTCGCTGTGGTCGTCACAGTCCAGGTGTCCATCGCAGCGTTTGGTCGCCAGGACGCAGCGGCCGGACCGGCACTTGAAGTGGCTGGGGGAGCACTCTGTAACCATGGCAACGGAGCAGCATCAAGGTCTCAGAGCTAGATGAGACATCATCATCATCATCATCATCAGGACAAACCGTACCGTCGACTCCGTCCTCTGGCAGCAGGCAGGTGGAGTTCCCTCCGTCCTCTGGGAACTGGCTGCAGTCGGAGTCCTCAGGCCACTGCAGACCCACAATGCCGAGCACCGACTCACATTTCTCCTTGGCAATGCGGCACAGCGACCTGCAGGACAGAGAACAGGGGGACTCAGCTGCAGCCACCGCTAACCGTGTAGCACCGGACGCAGCCACTGACCTGCAGGGCGGGACCTTCTGCAGGCTGAGCGGGTCACACTTAGGGACCAGGAGGGTGCAGGCGTAGAACATGAGGTACTGGTAGCAGCCGGTCTGGACCAGCGCCGGGAACAGGGACGACTCCCAGGACACAGAGCTCTCTCTCTGGGACAGGTGGCCCAGGAAGTTCGGGAAGCTGGTCTGGTTGTAGGGCAGGTTCATGCACAGCTCCAGGGTGATGGGCTCACAGCGCGCTGCAGGCCAGAGGGCAGAGTCAGGACCAGTCCCCACCACCAGGGGGAGACAGGCTGCAGTTATCAGAACCACCACCAGGAGGAGACAGGCTGCAGTTACCATGACCACCACTAGGGGGAGACAGGCTGCAGTTATCAGGACCACCACCAGGGGGAGACAGGCTGCAGTTATCAGGACCACCACCAGGGGGAAACAGGCTGCAGTTACCATGACCACCACCAGGAGGAGACAGGCTGCAGTTATCAGGACCACCACCAGGGGGCTCCACCAGCTGCTATCTGAACTGTATACCAGGGAGTTTTACTCTCTGACATCTTCATGGTTCCCTCAGCTGGTCTGGACCTGTAGTGGAGGACCGGTTCTCTCTCTACTCACAACAGTTGTTGCTCCGGGGGTCACAGGCAACGGTACCGGCTCCACACGCTGGACAGGAAGAGGAACTGCAGCCAGGCTGAGCGGGGAGGCATCCACCCGGGTCTGGAGGAGACAACAGCAGGGGAACCATCAGGAAGGGAACCATCAGGAAGGGAACCATCAGGAAGGGAACCATCAGGAAGGGAACCATCAGCAGGGGGAGACATTCACTCAGCAGCATGGGTGAATGTGACTGTAGTGTAAAATGCTCTGGATGGTCAAAATGACTGGAAAAGCGCTGCATAAGTTCAGTCTGTTTGATATTACCATGTCAAAGTTCAACATTTCATGCTAACAGTTAGCTACAGCATCCTGAGGCCGTCAGGTTAGGATTCAAACTTAAGTTTAAAATGAAAACATGGAATAAAGAAGATGTGTCTGATTGGTGCTGAATGCAGAGCAACATTCAGTCCCTCCAGAAGATTCTGATTATTTTTGTGATTTGTTTATAAATCAAACTCATAAATGTTGTGGTGCTACTTCAGAAATATTTACAAGGAATTCAGTGATAATTGTTCTTTGCACATATGACGCTAAATGTGACTTTTTACACATCGATCACAGATGATAACTTGACATCAAGGCTGAATCAACAGTGGAGCAAAAGTAAGAAACACTGCCACCTACAGGTGGGAGTTAGCATCACTTGACCCAATGATTTTCACCAGTTATGAAGAAAAATGTGTAAAAAAACTAAAAATTATGCCTGAGCATTGAGTTGTGGATATTTCTAACATCCTTTAGCCTGCTTCATGCTGTCAGGCAGGTTCTATTTAAGGGGTTTTATGTGTTTACATAAATGTGGGCGGGACTAGTGAAGCTGAATCAGGACATTAATTATTAAAAAGAATCATTTACAGCCTGGTTTGGTCCAGATCTCCTCTAATAAACTGTCAGGTTGTTTAAGATGAAACTAGTTTATCTGTAGCATAAATGTTGAGTCTTTATTTCTCATGTTTGAACAGAGGAAAGAAGAGCAGAGATGGGTGGAATGGAGAGATGTCTCACTCTGCTCCCGGCTGCAGTGCTCTTCGTCGCTGCCGTCCTTGCAGTCGTCCTCGCCGTCGCAGCGGAAAGCCGAGGGAACGCACTGACCGTTCCTGCACTCCAGCAGGCCCTGGCTCCGACAGGCTGCAGACACAAACAGAACCAGAACCGGGTTTGTGCCGGGTGGAACCCCAGCGCCCCGACCCAGATCTCATGTTTCCGATAGGAACTCACAGCAGTTGGTCTCATCACTTTTGTCCAGGCAGTCGTGGTCTCCGTCGCAGATCCAGTCCCTGGAGACGCAGCGTCCGTCCCCACAGCGGTGCTCCCGGGACAGGTCACACACTGAAACACACACACACACACACACACACACACACACACACACACACACACACACACACACACACACAGTCGACAGTTTTCTCCTGCTGCTGTTCCCCCCCTGGCCTCCAGGTGGCAGTCAGTCTGCTCCCTACTATCTGCTTCCTGGTTGGTTCAGGTTAAAGGTCAAAGGTTAAAGGTTTCCTCACCACAGTTCAGCTCGTCGCTCAGATCCCCACAGTCGTCATAACCATCACAGACCAGAACCGGACTCAGGCAGCGGCCCGTGTTGCACCGAAACTCTTCATCAGGACATTCTGCAACAGAGACGGACCATCATCATCCTCACAGTCTGACCCGATCCAGATTCCCCACATGGGTCCAGATCATTCTGGCCCTGATCCTCCACCTCGGCTCCGTTCAGCGGCTCTGACGGACCACAAATTCCTGCAGCATGAAGGTAGGGGTCAGGATGGGGTCAGGAGAGGCGTTCCCACGGCAACACGCTGATGTCACACACACAGAGGCTTCAGGAAGCCCCACCCTGCTGTCAGCCAATCAATTACCAGCACAAACATCACCATGGCAACGGGCTGAAAACTTTCCATGCTATTTAAACAAGGGACAATCAGACTGTGTGTGTGTGTTTCTCTCTCTCTCTGTGTGTGTGTGTGAGCTCACCGCAGTGTGTCTCGTCGCTCCAGTCGTCACAGTC